TCGCTCAGCTTAAAAGCTTCATTTGGGTTGAAATACCTGACATTTATCAAGTGACCTGAGTCATTCCCTGAGCCTCAGTCACTTAAAACACCAGCACCTTTCGCTGCGATGCGGCCACGTTTGTTCAACCGCCCTGTTTTGGAGCTCCCTCCCTGTTTTGCTGTAAGGTCAGTAAGGAATTGGGGAAAGGTCCCCATGCCTGCCGCTCGGAAAAGCAGCGGAGATGCTCTGTGCGGCTCCAGGGGCTGATGCCGGGGTGGGAGCGAGCGCGAGGTTTCAGGTGAGGAGTGTGCACGCGCGTTACTTGCTTCAACGCCGTGTGTGCTGGGGCGGTGTGTTTACTGGCAAATACAGAAAACTGTTATTCCTTGGACATGGGATGTTCAAGGGAAAGGAAAAATGGATGATGGTCTCTTCTCACCGCCGTGATGCCGTGTCCTGGAGGCACGTTGGTATTTACTCGTGGAGCCCCTTGTGTGCTCGTGGTGAGCACGGCCATAAACATCTCACGGCCTGTGAAGTCTGACTGGGATTATAACGTTTGGGGGATATTAAAATGGGTGAATGTGCTCAGGACAAAAATAACCGTATTAAACATGTTGCAGGATCTCTGGCTCGGGGAGTCAGTAACCATAAGGCAGCAGGAAGGAATGTCTTGGAAACAACGTGTGCCTGGAGGATTTACAGCAATGCACATCCTTCAGGATGAGAACCACCAGGCAGCAGGGAAGTTGGGCTTGATCTTGTTAAGCCAAGTACTCCGTTTCAGATGTCGGAATGTGTGAGGTTATTGCCTGCTTCCCCTCCCGTCTCGGAGCGATCGGGGCTGGCCGTGAATGCTCCCACTTGCTTTCTGGCTCTGCCATCTTGGGTACACCGAGCACGTTTTCTGAAATGGGAACTGTCAGCGTGGTGAAGTCAAACTCTATTGAACTAAACCTGCCTAGAGCTTATTGCAGCCCTTGGATGGAAAGAGCGTTGCTTAAGCAACCGTGTAACACGGGATCAATTCCCCAGCCATCCCCCGGCAACTCCTTTTAGGTAGCTGTTCCTTTCCGTGTAGTATTTTATCATTTTAAAGATGATCACACGTCGTTTATCTTCACCACGGGGAAAACACTGAAGGGTGACGAGTTTTATTTGCAGCTTGTAGTATAAATGAGATTGATGGGTTGGGGGGTTTCTTCCACGTTTTTGAGCTTCGGGGCCGCGCACGGAGGAAAACTCCTTTCTTCTCAGTATTCAGTATTATTGAAGAACGAAGTGATTGCACGATGCAGTCGTACGAAGCCGATGGATTGGGAATTCCTGCTCAGGAATACGCAGCCCGCAGCGGGGAGAGCTTAGGACCCCCAGACGCTCCGTGGGGATGTTGGGTCTGCAGCTCAGCGCAGCTTGTCGCTGTGGGGGGCGAAGAGGAGTGGAAATTTCGCGCGTCGTTTCTCAAGTTTGGTGCTTTCTGATAAATACACTTTCCTCTGCTGAAAAACGAGACGGTGTTGGGAGTCACTCATAGGGTATTGCATTATCCTATTGTGCTCCCCGCTGTGGGGGGCGAAGAGGAGTGGAAGTTGCACGCGTTGTTTCTCAAATTTGGTGCTTTCTGATGAATACACTTTGCTGAAAAACGAGACGGCACTGCAAGTCGCTCATGGGGTGTTGCATTATCCTCTAGTGCTCCCTGGAATCCTTCCCCTGGTAGGGCTGTTTGGGAAGATGGATCAAAAATAGGATATTGGGAGGTGGTATTTTTTTTCCCAGGGACACAAAAAAAGTTGTCTGAAGCTCGTAGACCGCCTGGTAGGGCTGTTTGGGAAGATGGGTCGAAAATAGGATATTGGGAGGTGGTTTTTTTTTTTCCCAGGGACGCAGAAAAAAGTTGTCTGAGACTCGTAGACCATGTCAGGGCTGGAAGTGGGATTTGGATCAGTGAGGTAGGATGCGGATTGCCATGAAGAGCCATTAGTTGCCAGGCTTTATTGGGAGGGAAAAGCGAAGGCATTGTTTGGGCCTTGGCTTCGGAGGGGAAAAAACGGGTGTGCACGTAGGAAAAAGGATGGTTTGCCGTCTGAAAAACCCAGTGGTAGTTGAGGCTTTTTGGTGCCTGTTGAAGACACGCTCGGAGCCGGGAGACAGGCAGTGTTTTGGGTTGTCGTCGAGCCTTCATAGGGCGAGAGGAGTTAGGGCCTTTGTCACAGCATAAGGTACTTGGGGCGCGCTGGTGGAATATCTGCAACCGCAGACAAATCCTGGGATTTCAGTGCCGGCGTGCGAGAAGCAGATAAGAGCGGTCCGGAAGGGAGCGGTTCGGAAGGCCGGGTGCCGGCACGGGAGGAGGTGTTTGCCGTTTGGGGCTGTCCCCCGTGACTCAGCGGTTCTCAAATGCCACCCCAACCCTGCCCCAGTGCCCGCAGCTCCCCTGAGCCCTCCTCCGCACCTCCTGGGTGGAAAGGACTGGTGTCTTGGATCAGCGGGCTTGTGAATCTCTCTTACCAGGAGGTTTTGGAGCTGTTGGCGCTCAGAGGAGCGACGGACACAACTTTCCTTAGCCGTGGTTGTGCCCACCGTGGTTTTGTTTCCGCCTCCCTGGCCACGTACCTTTCCAGCCCGTGGCGGAGCTCGTGCCTGCGGCGCTGGCAGGACGCCGGCGTCTCCCCGTTGCCAATACTCTGCTGTCTCATGCTTTAGCCCTTATCTAGGGTACACAGAGCTCTCGCCCCGCGTGCTCGTTACGCTAAGCGGTGTTTTTGTACCTTGGTTGAAAGAGTTGCTGCACCCAAGCGAAATAATCCCCACGGCTACCCCCAGTGCCCCTGGCTTGTGGAGCTGGGTGCTGGAGCAAGGCTAGCCTGGTTCTACCCCGTCGGCAGAGGGGAGCTCACCGAGGCGATGCTAAAACGTGCTGAAGACAACATTGCAGCCCTGGAATGTAGTATCAGGGCAGGTCAGCTGCTCGGCCTGTCTGCGCGAGAGATAATCGAGTTAGGGCAGAAGAGAAGGGACGAAATGTCTGGGTGAGACAACCCTAAATTATGCCAAAAGGTGTTCCAGCAGAGAAATGTATTTGTTTTGGTTAAGGCATGTTGCAAATGGATTGTTTTGGGTTTTTTTTCTTAGCTATTTGTACACATTGAATTAAAAAATAAAATGACTATTCACCAACTTGAAATAATGGGGGAAAACTCCCCGGTTTGCACATCAGCTTTCCCCTCTGACTTGCCTGCGTAGGCTTTGGTACCTCCCCTTGTGCCCTGAAATGCTGTCCGTCCTGCGGCTGCCTCTCCGGGGATGCCGTGGGGAAGCCTTCCCGAGGAATGTCAACTTGAGGGATGTCTGGATGGGGACACCCATGCTGTGCGATAAGAGGCGTGCTATTAAAACCGTGTTCAAAACCTGCTGCGGATGCTTGCCTTAATCCAAGGTGAATAAAGTGTATGCTTATTCCTCATTGACTTGCTGGATCCGCACTCCTGGAGAATGTGGACTAGCTTTTCCAAGTGCGTGGGGAGTTTTTTCACAGGAAAACCGTGCTTTAACCACCGCAGGTGCATTAACGGGGTGTTTAGCAGTGACCTTGTGTGCCGTGTCACGCAGGTGGCGACGGGCCGTTGGCTCGGTACCCTTGGCTTTTTGGAGTTGTTTGCTTTGAGTCCTGGAGGTCGTGTGTTTTCCTGCGGCTCCCAGGGAGTGAACAAACTGCTTTCTGCCAGAAGGCTGGCACGGAGCACGCGCTGTGCCCGAACAAGGGTGTTTTGTCACGGGGAGCATCGCACGAGAGGCTATTGCCACCGCGTCCCAGACGACCGTGGGGAAGAGCCCTTTCCCGGAGGTGTGAGGAAAGCTGGTTGTAGGGAACCCCCATGCCCGAGCTTAGCGCAGGGTGGTGTAAAACTCCTTAAAAATAGGTGGTTTTTTAATCCAAACTGCTCTCTCCGGATCGGTGTTCATGGTTCGGCTCTCCAGCTGAGCTGACGGAGCCAGGCTGACCACTTCCCAAGGGCGCATGGGGACTGGATGGCCACGGCAGCTGTTCCAATTGAGGGATGGTCACAGGGATTTTGGAGATGTGGAGGAAATGGCGTTTTGTCCTTGTGCTGAAGATGACACCCAGAAACGGGCACCCTCCTGTATGTAAACTTGGCCAGCTTTGAACAACTGGAAGTGAATCTGTAATGAGACAGGACAGGGCCTTGACAGATGCTCAACCAGAGTTACTGTGGCTTCTCATGATTTATGGTGAATAATAAAAATATTCCTCTTAAATATTTTTGAGGATTTTCTGGTGCAGAGCTTAAATCTTTGCGTTTTGCCTTTCTCAAAACCAAAACTGTATGTCCGGCGCTTGGCAAAGTTCTCCAGTTCCTCTAAAGCAGCGAAGCGAATGAATGTCAGGTTGAGGTTGGTGGTTTAAAAACAAGTAAGAGACCGGAGCTGTGGAATACGGGACGAAGTGAGAGGATTTTTGCGGAGAGTCTGTCTGTGTGTTTCCCCTGACACCCTCTTGCTGATCATCTCGGCAGCAGAGCGTCGCACGCTTCTGTGCACCTCGGGTGCGGCATTGCTGCGCTCGTCTGCGAGAAGCCGTTGGGCAGTGCCGCGGCGCCTGAATCTGTCGGCCGACCCCTTCGGTAACTTGGCTTTGGCACGGTGATCTCGCCTCCGGAAAGAAATGAGGTGGCTGATGCCGCCCGTCTTTTTACAGATGCGCAAAAGTTACGGCGTGCTTGTAGTGATCTATAGGCTGTGGATGCCCCATCCCTGGAAGTGTCCAAGGCCAGGCTGGATGAGGCTTGGAGCAACCTGGTCTGGTGGAAGGTGTCCCTGCCCGTGGCAGGCGGTGGGGCTGGATGATTTTTAAGGTCCCTTCCAACCCAAACCATCCTGTGATTCACCCCTGCAGACCTAAAGCGGTTGAAAACTCCTTATTTAATCTCACAGTAAGAACCTGAGGGGATACTTGCTTCCGTCTGTGAAGCCACTTTTTAACTAGGACACCTAAGATGTCACTGGGGGAAACCATCTGCCTGGATCGCAGTGTACGGCAAATATTTTCCAGTTGTTTGAGGCCACAGAATCTGCCTGGTAGTTGTTTTATTTCCCTTCGAACACGTTCACAGAGACGCCGCTCCAAGACATCCATCCCATTCGTCGTTTGCTCTGCTTTGGGTATTTTTAGCATGCATAGGGTGGAAAATTGAACGTGAGATCCTTCTGGCATCCCGAAGCCTGGTACGGTGTCCTGCAGAGGGGATGTAAACCAGGTTTGTGAGGGATTTGACCGTCTGTGACGTAAAAACTAGATGTGAGGATGTTATTTCACTGCTGAAGCGGGCAGGTTGAGGGTTATTGCTGTTACAGCACAAGGTGTAAGGGGTTTTCCAGGCCTCACTGGCCGCACGGTGCGGTGTGTCCAGGCCGGGCGAGCACTGACCCTGGGAGTGGCTGCCCAAATCGAGGTAAAAAGGTGGGAGTGGGTAGGCAACGGCGTGTTCCTCAGGTGTGAGGGGCAGCTGCGCAATTTCTGTCAGTTAAGTGCATTTAGCTGATGGAAGAACAAACCGAGCTGAGCGTTTTCCAGTATAGATGTGCGTACAACCTGGGTTAAACTGCTGCATAACTAACCTGTAAATCCTCAGGTTCCTAACCACGTGTTTTCCTGCGTTCCAGAGCCTAGCGCAGCTAGAGAACCTGTGCAAGCAGCTCTACGAGACCACGGACACCGCGACACGGCTGCAGGCAGAGAAAGCCTTGGTTGAGTTCACCAACAGCCCGGACTGCCTGAGCAAGTGCCAGCTGCTTCTAGAAAGAGGGAGTGTACGTAGAACAACCTAATTATCCAGCACGTAGCTTGGGATTTGGGTCATTGATAAGGGTAATAGCCCCAAGGTCTGGTATGCAGGGTTGGTACCGCATACCTGGTATGCTCTCCTGTGTCTCCATTTGTGGGCAGCCTGTGCCAAAAAAATCATTGGCTCTGGTGCCTGATTATACTGCTGGAGTGGAAACGATGAGCGCTTGTCAGTTTGGGTGTCTGCGGGCCTTGCTGCATTCCCCGCAGGCTGCCACCCAGGCAGGTCAAGCTTTAGGCTGGAAACGTTGATGGCAGTGGTATTCCATAGGCTGTGGGAACCTCTGCTCTCTGTCAGCTCTGGGGAGAAAACGATGTGTGCACGGAGCTTCCGTGGGGATAAAGCCAGCAGCGTTACTTCTGGAATGTTTCCTTGGAAAATTGCCCTTGCTGTAGTGTTGTCTTAATAATCCAGCAGTTTAGAACGGGGGAAATTAGATCGTGTGCTTTAGAATTAGAGAAAGGATATAAAATACGCCAGCAGTAAATCCTGCCTGACGGCTGCGGCTTGCTGCTTTTCAAGCAGCTGTTTGATTTTTACTATTTTTTCCCCGCAAGTGATGTTTAAAATGGCTTAGCCACGTGATCTTGCGAGATTTGCCTTTTGGCAGAACGTTGATCCAGCTCCCATGTCTCTCCCATCGGAGCCTTGTTTGCAAAAATAGAAAACATTCAACAGCCTGTTGGAAAGAGCAGGTCCTTCAGGAGGCAGTGAAGTGACACTTAACAAGCTTATACAAAGCAAATTATTTCACTTTTTGTTAAATCTGAAGTCTGGGTAATTCAAAACAGACTGATTTGAAGCTCCTCTGGCGGGAACGAGTAGCTGGTCTACCTGAGGACAACTGGTTTTGAAAGGGGAGTGCCTAAAGCCCAGAGTGACACTCTGTGTGCGATCCGTTGCCCCTCTGACCCTTACCTGAGGGCTGGAGAGGGGTGTTGTTCACTCTGGGATCTGACTCTTTATACCTGACTGTCCTGGGGAATGTTGGAATCAATAGACATCCCGCCTCTTGGATACTAAGCTTCCTACACTACTGTATATTGCAGAAATCAGCATGCAAAGTCCTTGTCGTTTCCCTGGCTGTAATTTAGGGAATCAGGTGCAGCCAGAGGTTTTAGGTGGTTGAGTGCCATCGTTTGTCCCTGAATTACAGTTCAGTGGGGTGTGGGCTGTTCTCTGTCACAAATATTAACTGTATGTAGTAATCAAGTGGAGCTGTAAGTGCTTCTCACTGGGCAATAACGTATTCCCCTGGTTTAGAGGGCCAGATGTCGCTTCCAGACGTGGCGTTTAAGGGAAAACCATGCGGTTTGACCGTGTTTTGCAGTTTTACTCCCGCCTTCACTGGCAGTTCCGTTACCTTCCGCTCTTTAAAAGCTTTCCCTTTCTTTCTTAAACACTTTTTCTTCAAGTATTTGGTTTACTTTAGTGTCTGTAAAAACATCCAATAAATGCTATGTGGAGGATTTAGGCTTAACAGTTAAATTAATGCTTTAAACTCAAACTTCCAGAGAGCATTTAGCTTCAAATCCAGCGTTGCGGTCTGATCGTCGGAAGCACGCAGTAAACTTCTGTTTGTGTTTTGGTGTTGGTTTTTTTTTTCCTTTACAGTCATCCTACTCCCAGTTATTGGCAGCTACATGCCTTACAAAACTCGTGTCACGCACAAACAACCCTTTACCGTTGGAACAACGAATAGATATTCGTAAGTACAAGACTTGATTTTTCTGACCAGACTAATGTGGATGTTTGTCGTGTGGGTGGGAGGTTTTCTACAACCTGCCGTGCTTTACAGCCTCGCGTGCCCAAAAGGCAAGGAAGTGTTTCTTTTCCATGGCACCTTGAGGCACTGGGACAGGTTGCCTAGAGAAGCCGTGGATTCCCCATCCCTGGAAGTGTCCAAGGCCAGGCTGGATGAGGCTTGGAGCAACCTGGTCTAGTGGAAGGTGTCCCTGCCCGTGGAAGGGGGTGGCGCTGGGGGGGCTTTAAGTTCCCTTCCCACCCAAACCATCCTGTGATTCTGTGATTAGCTGGCCTTTTTCCAGCTGGAAGGGAATGGCAGCACAGGTTTTGTGAATAAACCAGTTGCATTTGGCAAATTTCTGTTGGAGTGTAAAATATGCGCGGTGCTTGCCTCTTCCAAACATCCTTCCCAAACTGAAAATCCTTTATGGGTCTCTGAAATGCCATTTAGAGTATATCCTAAGGGAACAGGCAGTCTGTAGCAGCGCTCTTCCCTGGAGAACAGCTGATACTGCCTTTCCTCTGAAGGAGTCCGAATGCCACTCAATCTGCTTCCTTTTTCACAAATGACGTGGTAGGTGATCATCCATGAGGAAGGGTCTTGAAATATTTTCAGCTTTTCCTGGCATTTACGTGTGACTTCCGAGGATTGGACTGAATCTGGTCACGCAAAACAAGATGGGCTTGGGAGGAGGAACTCTTACCTGTCTCCAACCACTTTCCAGACCTGTTGCACAACTGCAGTGTCGTTAAACCATGACAGATATGTTAAAGGCACCCATAAAAGCTTAACATTTGTATCTAACCCTCTACCGTGCTGGTTTCTTTTTAAACAGCTTCCAGAAAGATGCTTTTTCCCATCACGTTCCCATCCCGGTTCCATTTGCCATGCTTTTGTCTACAGATCCGCCTCTTCTCTGTGTTTCAGGGAATTATGTGCTCAACTACCTTGCCACTAGGCCAAAGTTGGCGACGTTTGTCACGCAAGCACTAATCCAGTTATATGCCAGGATCACCAAGTTGGGCTGGTTTGACTGTCAGAAGGACGAATATGTCTTCAGGAACGTGATCACAGATGTCACAAGGTTTTTACAGGTCAGATTTGGTGTGAGAGGAGCACACACCTTGTGGGAATCAAAAGTCCATGCCTTCTCAGTTATTGTTTTGCACCTTAATATGCTCCGTCCGGTCTTTCATCTGTGCGTTTGTTGGTTGAACTGTGACTTCCCAAGGCTGAGCAGGTAGGGACGGGTCAGTTGTTCTGCTTTAAAGCTTGATGAGGCAGGGATTTATTTCAGGAAGCTTCCACTGTTGGTGTTCAACGGGAAGACAAGTCTTTTAGTGTTCCAGTTGCACAATTTTTCCTTGGAGCTTACCTCCACCCTGCTGATGAGCGCAGGATGGTAAACGCACGGGCTTGTTGCCCGCGAGGGAAGTACGTGCCGTGCTTGGCTTGCTCCCGTTCCCTGCAGGGGTGATATATCCAGGGAAGTCGTGTTTGATAATTAGTTGTACCAGAGTGGAGCTTAAAGCCAGCCTGCTCCGCAATTATCGGTAACAGTTTTCCTTAGAAGTCCTGACTCGTTTCCGAAACGTACCCGCTGTCACCACGCTGCAGGGCTTTGTTCCCAACCTGAAATGCACTTGTAGGTACAGGTGGCAGTTTATAGCGTAGGTAGAAGGTTGTGGTATTGGCAACAGCTGCCTCCAAACTGAAACTTCCTCCCAGAGCGATCAGTAAATCCCGTAACACTCTGAACAGTGATTTAGTTGCTCTGAAATTTGGCCCTAAATCAGAAGCTGGAGGAAGATAGTAAAAGAGAGAACAACCAGAAATTCTTCCCAGTGTGGAAAAGGAGATGTGATGTGTTCTAGGCTGTCATTCTGGAGAAGGGAGCGTGTGGGCATTCGGAGAACAGGCTAAGTGCTGGTATTTCAGGCATTTACAGATGTTTACAGTGAAGATCTACAAGTGATCAGTAAGTTAAAGATCACGTTCCTGGCTGGGTTGGTAACTACAGCCCAGATCGTTTGCAGGGGCTCTTTGCTGAAATTCCCAGAGCCAGGTTCCTCCCTCTCCTGGCTCGTGGCACGGGGAATGTGTACTCTAACGAAACGGTGTGAATATCTACTCGCTGTGTTGGGTTTGAGGTGGTCTGTTCCCGTTTGCTCAGGTTACCTCTTCTGGCTGCTGGAGTCCACGGGAGGCTGCGCTGGTTTTGTAAAGACGTGGGTTCAGCAAGGTTTAACAGTGGCTTCTGTCTAGATATTATCATGTAAACACTGAGCCTGTCATCAAGAGACGGCCCCGGGGGAGAAGTGGCCGAGGTCCCAAGCCTAAATATGGGTGAATTTCTGTATCGCAGACGAGTTCAGGCTTTGAAGCAGGAGGTGCTAACCAGGGTGGAGCTGGGAAAGGAAATATCATTAGTCACAGAACAGAAACTGGGGCACAGGAACAATGCAGGTTGTTTCCCTTAAACCATTTGATACAGGGATTTCTAGTGAAGAGGTATCTGTAAAAGGCTGATTTCACAACTGGTCTCTTGTTGGCAGCCTCAAGTGCAGCCAGAGGCCGGCCGGGCTGTGAAGAATGCACTCCTTCACCGCAGATAGGCTCTGCTCCGTGGCAGGAGGGCTGTGGGGAGGCTGTGTGGAGAAACCTGCTCAGCTGCTACTCGTGCTGTTCAAGGTCTAGTTTTAAAAGGGAAAAGAACCCCAAAAAAGAGGTTTATTTCCCAGGGTTTTCATCTTTTATACAACATTAGGATGAGTATTAATTTCTGCGTGTTTTACCACAACCTCTCTTAAAATTAAACTGATTTAAACGAAAAATCTTCTTAAGGTTCAGGGCATAAGGCAAAGATGTTGGTTAAACTATTAAATAAAAGCATCCTGTTTTTATTAGCTCCTGTGACCAAACTCTTCAGAACCCTTTGTGTTGTTAACAACCTCGAGTATTTTAAAGGGACACGTGAAATTCTCTGCTTGGTCTTGCTAATGGGCTTCTTTTCCAGCCACAAATACTACAGAGAGTAAGCGTTCCTAGAAGCCACCCGAGCAGAAAGGTCTTTAAATGAGAGTGAAGCTTGATTGAAAACACCCTGGCGCTGCTAACTGCTGTCCCTGTCCCCCTCTCCTTCCTCAGGATAGTGTAGAGCACTGCATCATAGGAGTGACAATCCTGTCCCAACTAACTAATGAAATTAATCAAGTAAGTGCTACAGCCTTCCTCAGTGAAGTAAGTGTCCAATTTTCTCATTCATATTGTTGTGTCCTACCGTGTGTCTGTGCTTTGTTTGGGTTTTTTTTTTTTGGGTGGTGCGTGGGGGTGTTTGCGTGGCGGGTGGGGTTTGTGTGTTGGTTTTTCTTTTCCTTTGTTGTTTTTACGCAGTCACATGCTTTTGTGGTAAGATGCTAAAACCTCCCGTCCCGAGGAATTGTTTTGTTTTGCTGGCATCTTCCATCCTCTCTCATATTTTGATGTAATCCTCTGAGATGAAAGAGGGAAGAGCAGTGGTGAGCAGGTAGCCAAGCCCGCCTAGCGAGGGCTAGGACATCCCTAGCACCTTCCGTTGTCGGTCCCTGTGCGTTGTTTCCGCTCACACCACTCTTCTTCCAAGAAGTGAACGGCGTATACCCTTCCCCCTATCCACCAGGGAGATGAAACAAAGAGGATTTACCAAATCGTGTGGATTTTTAAAGCACCCTGTTCATTCAGCACTACGTTTTGTCGCGTTCCCAGCAGGTAGTTCTCAGATTCTGACGGTTTAGGTTGGGGCTGAGTCCCTTACGCAGCCCCGGCCGCGGGTGACTGGCAGAAAGAACACCGGGCACGCCGAGTCCGTGATGCTCTGGCGTGGCCCCCAGTTGTGCCGGCATCACAGAGGCCAGAAGTCTGTCCAGGTCGGTGAGCTCGGGGGTTTCTGGAGCCTTCCAGTGTTGCGCTGCCTCTGGGTATTTATGTTGAAAGCCGGAACTAGCAGCTTTACTCGGTGCTATCGAGGCTTACGTCGCTTTCCTAACGGGGCAGGCAGGCTTTGGTGTCGCACCACTGGTGGCTACCACTGTCCTAAGGCAGCCAGGGTTGCCGTGTGTATAAACATCTGATTTTGCTAAGAGGACCAGGTGTAACTAAGGTTTTTATTTTAACACCTTACTGAGGAGCCTAACCTTTCATTTCTGCTGCTGTATTGACTGATCCAGGCATTGGAACGCAGAGGTACTTCAGTGGGATTTGAAGGATGATTAGGAATCGTTTCGGAGCTGGAAACGGAGGAGGTTTAGTCCTGGCCAGGGCAAAACCACTAATTTATTCTGCTGGACTTGAGGTTCGGCACCTCTCAACTTCCCAGGCCCTGCACTGGAATTTGAATGGCTTCTGCATTCCCAGATTCACTTTGTTCTTCAAACCTGGCCTGATCAGTAAATCCTACCCCATAGCTCCTCACTCGCAGGCTGTGGCTCGCGACTGTTTGGATTTCCCTGCCCTGCCTTTTGTACAGTCCTTGCTCCATCGCTGCACAAGGGCCCGTCCTTCCCGTCCTTGCATCCAGGATGGAAGCAAGTCTGTTTACCTCGATCGATTAGTCCGTGTCTCTCAGCATCTTTGCTCAGGGTCGGGCTTCTGCTTGCAGGAGGGTGGTCAGCACACAAACTGTCACCTGTCCCACTTCCAGAAACCCCACGGGTCGATAGTAAAATAAGCACCGAAGTTAAAGATTCTGATCAAAAATCTCTTCCCCAATACCTGGGATCCGAAGCCTGCCAGAGTTTCCTACTCGTTCCTGCCTTGTGCCAGCAATTGCACGGGGCTGGGCTCAGTGACTCATCTTGGAAAAGCCTAAAGCTGCCAGTACTTGCTAAATACTAAACCTGCCAACGTGCCCGCTCGTCAGCCTGGGGTCACCTACGTGTACGTAGCAAAAAAAACCCACCCAAACCCCCCCCCTCCGTGAGGCTTCTCTTTGGGCTCTTTTTGATAATATTTAAACTTGCAACCACGCTGCATAAGAGCCGAGTTTTCCAGAGCTCTGTTTACTAAAGCTTTTGTTCCAAAGGCTCGCAGCACAACTGAAGTAAAGCGCTAGTAACTGTTTGCAAGGCTCAGTTTTCATCCTCTCAGTGCTGCACGGGCTCGCCCGGAGGTGTGGGGTGTCCACTGAACTGTGGGAGTTCGCCGAATGAAGCCACATGACTTCCCAGTGAAGAAGAAAAGACAGGAAATGCCCGTTTGCCGCCAGCCCAGGAATACGTGAGAGCTGGAATAACCACGGAGAGAGGAAATAATGCTCCTTTTCTTAAATCTGAGCGGCGCGAGCTGAGGGAACGCTCGCTCAGGTGCTGGAGCACCTGACGAACGCCCGTCGGGTTCTGATGGGGGGATGCAGGGCTTCTCGCCTCTAGCCTAGGAGGGAATCGGATTTGCCTCCTCCGCGGGGCCGTTGCGGAGGTCGGTCCGTTCGGGCCAGGCCGGCAGCGGTGGGAGCCGTACCGATTCCCGCAGTACGGAGCGAGATGGAGAGCAGCGTGAAGAAAAGGAGGATTCGAGTTGCGGTGCCTGCGGTGAGGTCCCATCCCAGGCGCACTCTGATAACCGCTGCCCCTCCAGTAACTTATCCCGGGGTAGTGGAATTTGGCCGGTGTGTGTTCGGATGGCCGAGACGGGAAGTATCGGCGTCGCTTTTTCCCTCGCCCTAGAAACCACTCTACAAGTGACTTCACCCGCGCTCGCCCGTGCGTTGGCTGAGCAATTGGACACCTTGCTATGCAGTATAAAGCAACGTGTGTGCATTTCCCTCTTGGATCCTGCCAGCTTTTCACTCGGATACCACAGGAGCTCCAGAACTGGAGTTGACGATAGACACGGCGAAGTCCGAACGGCTCTGACTGGTTAACTCTCCTTCCAGCTCTTGTCTGTGCAGGTTCAGGAGGGGAATTACAGTCGCTGGTAGTTGATGTGGCTCTGCCCAGCCATCAGGTAGGAGTTAACCCTTAGGAGTTCGGAGCAGTTTAGGAAGCAGCGTTCACGGGTCTGAAATGACCGAAGCGCTGCTGAAAACACTCCCGTCGATGCTGCTTTGGAAGAGATTGGAATGAACAAACCCAGTCCTGCTTTCCGGCAGGGGCGCTGCAGGTGTTGTAGGGGGAGCGTCCTGTCATCGGCCAGCACTAGGACTTTATCCATGGAAGAACCTCCGTGGTCCAGCGGCAGCTGGGTTAGCCAGGCGTGAGGCATCGCTCTGGGGAGGGCGACGCTGACGTCCCAGCACCTCACAGGGTTCCTGCGGGTTCTGCTGGTCTTGTGCCACCTCTGCCCGTCGGTTCTAAGCACTGGTTTTCTCTCTGCCCAGGCGGACACCACTCACCCACTGACCAAGCACAGGAAAATAGCCTCTTCCTTCCGAGATTCATCCTTGTTTGATATTTTCACGCTGTCATGCAATTTACTGAAACAGGTAAGGAGACTGGTTTGTCATCTCTCTTGGGGGCTGGACGTTGGGGCGACAGGCTTGGGGCTGGGGTTCCCTCCGGTGTAACTCTGCTGGAACGAGCGCTCGTGCTCTGAAAGCTGTAGTCTGGGCTTGTTTTTCAGGAAAGCTTTGACTTAGGTTTGTATTAAGGGAAAAAAAAAAAAGCCCCCCCATGTCAGAAATACAGAAATATAACACTTTTCAGCAATCTTGATTGAATGTGCATGCCTGGACCGCAAGGCTTGGGTTAATCCCTGCCTTAAAGCGTCAGGAAAGAGATGAGCTGTGAGTTTTAAATATCTTTGGTTCACAGCGCTGGCAAGGGTTTTCCTGTAAAGCACATCCTTGTCTCTTTTTTTTTTTAACCTCAGTTTAAAACCCCCACGATGGGAGAAAAAATGCTAGGGAAGGTATGTTTAGTAGATTGAGACTACGGATTGCCCTTGATCTTATAACCCATGGTAAATATTAGACTGTCTTGTGTTCCCCGGGTTTGTATTTTGCGCTAATTATCACACATAAGTTAATTTGCTTTAAAACAACTTAGCCATGGGCCAGAGCAACAATGCTCTGCTAGTAGGGTCGGGTTTTCCCCCACAAGTTTCTTTCAGCTGAAGTAGCACACACGTGTTTTATAAGCAAGTAGAAAATTCTTGATGCCGCATCAGGTTTCTTTTCTAAAACCTAATCTGGAGTTCTAACAAGGGTGAAAAGGAAATTTCATTTTAAAGGTGTTTCAGAATGAGCAGCTCTGGTGGTGTCGGTAATAAAGGTGGGTACATGGGTGTAACTTGATCTTTTTTTTGTTGTCCCCTTCCTGGTTTCTAAAGGAAGCGAGGTTTGTACAATTAGCTGTTCATCCTTTCCCGTGCACCCATCATCGAATCATGGAATGGTTTGGGTTGGAAGGGACCTTAAAGATCATCTAGTTCCAACCCCCCTGCCATGGGCAGGGGCACATTCCATAGACCAGGTTGCTCCAAGCCTCATCCAGCCTGGCCTTGGACCCTCCCAGGGATGGGGCATCCACAGCTTCTCTGGGCAACCTGTCCCAGTGCCTCCCCACCCTCTGCGGGAAGAATTTCTTCCTGATATCCAATCTAAACCTCCCCACTTTCAATTTAAACCCATTACGCCTTGTCCTGTCACTACAGGCCCTTGTAAAAAGAGCCAGCTCTGGTAAACTTGAATGCCCTGGCTTGTTTGGTGCGTTTGCTGCTCAATTAGAGATCTCGAAAATAATAGGATTCCTCTGATTCTGAGAAAAGCAGCTCCCACGCAGGTGCAGGCAGGACAGGGTCCTTACAGCCGCCCAGACTTGGAGAAAATTCCACAAGTGCTTGTACTCGGCCTGGAGTCGGAGCCCAGGCCTTGTTGACCGCAGACCCGCGCTCCTGCTGCTGTCTGGTCCGGGTAGCTCTGGCTGAGCTGTTGCCCACGCTGCTGTCAATGCACGGCCCTGGGGACGTAGAAAGACCTCGCAGGAGGAAGCCTCTAGTTTTCCACCCCAACTCTGAATAATCCTGCTTTCGTTCCTTGGGATGCTGGGCTTTAAGGCAGGTTGGAGGGTTTTCTCTTGCCTCCTGCAGCATCCTTGTCTTCCGGCGATTAACCACCTGCTACCCACATCGGGTCTTTTTTCAGGCTTCTGGCTAGAAAGCAGAAGTTCCTTTTGAGTGGGAGAGGGTTGGGCTGCCAGAACCATCACGTCTGTCCCCACATCCGTAAAACAGGATGCATTTGGGCACCCCCAGAGGAGCGAGTCTGTGATACTGTGGAGAGAGCGCGAGGAAGGCATTCCAGCGGCCATGGGCGCTCCTGGCAGCGCCGGCCCAGCACAGTGTGTTGTTTGCAGCGGGTTTGATGCTGAGCAATAATGGAAGGGATGGGCAGGCCGACCTGTCCCTGGAGCACAGACCTGAGGGCAGCACTGAAACCGCAGTGAAGCGTTTTGTGCCCGTCCAGCTCTTCATGCTGCTTGAGCGTATCCATGTTTTCTCTGCCTACAGCAGTGCTGTCATCGGAGCAGGGCCTGTGCAGGTCACCTGCACCGCAAAAACGAACGTGCCCGTTTCCACGTGAGGGCGAGGTGGAGCAACAGGATTCCCTGTGGCCCGGTGCTTGCCAGGCACAAAATATTCTTGTGTTTAACCTTAATAAGAACCACCTTATCTCCGGGATCTCGCGGTGTGATTACAAGCTGGCGAGCCCGGCTGCTCTTCCGTGCGGCACCAGCTGAGCGAAAAGGAAGCGCTGCCTGTTTATCCGTGTAAAGACTCAGCGTGTCCATCCCGCGCTGCCTGTAAAACCATGGGATAGCTGGGCTTGGTGCTTGTGGCGTGATCCTTACGATCGTCGCGTCCTCTCTAAGGTTGAATTACCGCCGCAGCTCCGCCGTCGCCTTGATTTGGTTTTTGCTTTGGGCTCTGTTCAATCCGCCGTGTTTTATAGGCGTCTGGGAAGAACCTGAACCTGAACGATGAAAGCCAGCACGGTCTGCTCATGCAGCTCCTCAAGCTCACGCATAACTGCCTGAACTTCGATTTCATCGGCACGTCAACAGACGAGTCCTCAGATGATCTTTGCACTGTGCAGATCCCAACCAGCTGGAGATCAGGTAATCTTGCTGGAGGAGGGGAATCAGCTGAAAGCAGAGAGGGTCTTGGCAAGCCACCCCTGTACGTAGCAAATCAACCTTGGCATGCAGGGCCGGCTGTAAAATCCAGCCTCTCCTTAGCGTGATGGCAGGTGCTTTGGGTCTGGGTTGGCTGTCTTGAGCTAGAAAAACACCTCGCTACCCTTCCAGTCTTACCTGCCAATTCCAGAAATGGTAAACTGGGGTCTTTTTAATGCAAATAACTACCTCAGTGCCTGCTCTCAGCATCCTTCCGTTCTCACCCGCCACTTTGCAGGCAGTTTCACAGGTATTTTTCTGGAATTTTAAAATTTAAATAAAATATTCTCCTGTCATCTCACCTTAGTACCAAGTACCACTGGGTTTACTTTATTTCTAGGAAGGGCAGTGGTGTAAAAATGTAAAATCCTTTGGAAATGTTCTTACTGTGTGGTACTTGATGTGCCAAGTACACGTGCCACTGTTAAGAATTAAGCATAAACCCGTGGAAAGCAGTAAATGGAGGTGTTCTCAGTAATGTGCTCTGTTCTGTTTCAGCATTCTTGGATTCTTCGACCCTTCAGTTGTTTTTTGATCTTTATCATTCCATCCCTCCTTCGTTTTCTCCTTTGGTAAGTTCAGTGTTTATTTTCTTTACACTCTACTACCTGAAAGTGTGCATAGGAGTCATCCGGGAGACTTTCCTTCGGTTGAAATGCCACAGGCTGACGTCAGGCCGCTGCCTCTACCTTGATGGCACTGCCTTGTGCTGTGCCTACGCAGGGGGTGCTGCGCCAGTGCTGCTGCTGGTCGTTGTGAGGCATCTGCAGGTTTGGGTTTGACCTAAGGGCAGCCAGTTTGCCGTAAATGCAGCCTATTTCTTCCGCCTTACTTAGCTTGGAGTCTGCCTGCTCCCTCTTTTCAGCCAGGCCAAGGGCACGGTCCTTGGGTCGGGGCAGTCCCAACACAAGGATAGGCTGGGTGGAGAATGGATTGGGAAGAGCCAACAGGGTTTTATTGTTCTGATCCCCCTCTATGTATCCTCTTTGCCCCTTTCAGGTTTTATCCTGCTTGGTGCAGATAGCCTCAGTACGCAGATCCCTCTTCAACAACGCGGAACGGGCAAAGTTTTTGTCTCATCTCGTCGATGGAGTTAAGCGAATACTGGAAAACCCACAGGTCAGTATTTCAGCTGAGCTCGGTGGCTCTGCTGTCCTCTGCCTCCAACTTCCTCACCAAATATAATTCCCAATGAACACATCCCACCGTGGGACGGGGTGGGGAGGGCGCAGCACCTCGCTGCTCACCCCCTTTCCGCCCTCTGCGCCTCCTGGAACTGACTGCCCTGCGTGGCGAAATAACGCACTGTTCCCCCTTCTCTTGTTCTGCTCTCAGAGTTTGTCAGACCCAAATAACTACCATGAGTTCTGCCGATTGCTGGCCCGGTTGAAAAGCAATTACCAATTGGGAGAACTGGTGAAGGTGGAGAACTACCCCGAGGTCATCCGACTCATCGCCAACTTCACCGTGACCAGCCTGCAGGTACAGAAGGGTTTTACTTACCCTCATTTACGCCCCTTGTCTTCTCTTGGAACAGAATTATAACCCTCTTGCCTGTTCTTTTGCCCCTTAATTCGCTCTGCGTTACATTTACCCCGAAACACTGTGAGAGAGTCCTGCGGGGTAGCGTTGATTGTTCTCCGAGCTCATATTAAATGCAAGAGGAGCAGTTTGGGGGGGAGACAGGGTTGATATGCCTCCAGAGCCTTTCAGTGTCCTAGCGGGGGGGGGAAAAAACCCCAAAACTTGTTAAATAAGTCTTATTTTTAGAATTACGTATCGCTTCACTGTCAGAACGCAGCTGCAGGGATTGCTAGTAATACGAATATCATCCCATATTCCCCTTGCTGATGTACAGCTTGGATCCAACCCCCCACACACACACAGAGAATATGGTTTAAAAAAAAATCATATATTGCTTACAGAATGCCTTTGTTTGTTAAATTATCTGGAAAGCAGCTTTAAATGGCATATTCTGTCTGGGGAGCCGTCGCAGTATGCAACAGCGTGAGCCGGGGTGGTAGTTTGGGAGCAAAGGCGTTGGCTCAGCTCCGCAGCGTAGGGTTGTCTTCGCTGCGTGCTGGTAGCGCCCACTGAACCGGGGGGTGAGCCGAAACGCTCTGTTAAAACCAGCAACCAGACCATTAAAGCCTTGAGCTGATGCCCTGTCTTAGTGCCCCGTGAGTCAGCGTAACATGGGTAAAATAGTCAAGGCCGTAACTCACTGGTTTCCTTTGCTTCCCTTCATCCCGGCTCCTGGTAGCACTGGGAGTTTGCGCCGAACAGCGTGCACTATCTCCTCAGCTTGTGGCAGCGCCTGGCTGCGTCGGTGCCCTACGTGAAAGCCACCGAGCCGCACATGCTCGAAACCTACACGCCAGAGGTCACGAAAGCTTACATCACCTCCAGGCTGGAATCCGTGCACATCATCCTGAGGTAGGAGAAGCAGAGAGGGGGCAGCGCTTCTGCTGGTCGGCACCCGCCAGCGCAGACAGCTCTGCGGCAGTTCTCTTCCCGGTTTCCTTTTAAACGTGGGCAGGGCTGCAGGAAGGTTTGAGAGTCACAGAATGATGGAACGGTTTGGGTTGGAAGGGACGTTAAAGATCATCTAGTTCCAACCCCCCTGCCATGGGCAGGGACAATTTTTTTCTCATCCAGCCTGGCCTTGGACACTCCCAGGGATGGGGCATCCACAACTTCTCTGGGCAACCTGTCCCAGTGCCTCACCACCCTCTGCGGGAAGAATTCCTTCCTGATGTCCCATCTCAATCTCCCTCTTCCAGTTTAAACCCGTCACCCCTTGTCCTGTCACTCCCTGCCCTTGGGAAAAGCCCCCCCCCAGCTTTCTTGTAGCCCCCCCAGGCACTGGAAGGGACTCTGAGGTCTCCCCAGATCCTTCTCTTGATCCCAGACGGCTGAGATTGATCTGCCTGGTCTCTGACATGTTAGGGGTGGAATTTGTCTTCCCTGGCGTCACACATCTGCAGCATCCCGTTTACCCTCTGCGTTGCCATGCTGGCAGAGAGGAATAAGTAACCAAAGTGTGATTCAGTTAATTTTTAGCTCTGCTGTAGGATGGCACAAATCGTCCCTAAAAGTATCTCTTGCTGTTGTGGTGTTCTTCCATTGAGTGCAGGGACAGCCTGTAGGACTCTGTCGCGGTGCCTGGATTTGCGTGGGATGAATTCCACCTTGTGTGTGTTTGTGTTTGATGAAAACACGGTCAAGTATAGAAAAATAATCGGTGAATTATTCTCAGCCTTTTTAAGGAAGACTGATGAGCTCGGCCCTTTTTGGGTATCCAGCAGTGCCGGGGAAGAACAGCAGCTTTAGCTGGTTCTGGGGTTCGCAATAAACTGAGTGTTGAGATCAGTTTAGAGGAAAAGAGAACCAAAACGTTGACAAGATGGAGAGCTTTGTTGCACAAAGACAAGCAGACAGAGACCTTGTTCCTGGCACTGCACATTCTGTTCAAAAACCTGGATAAATGTTAAAGACGTAAGAGGAGCTTACTCATCCCAGGACCTGACCCGCTCCCATTCCTCTGATTTACGGCCGCAGTAACAATGGGATGATTACGTCGGTGTGTGTCTCTTCATCCTGACAAGCAGGAGAGGCAGAGACTCCAGCCATTGGAATTGCTAGGTGCCTGGAAAAACAGCCTCTTTCTGCTAGAAATGAGCTTATGTTATGGGTTAGGGCCATCTCTGCTTTTTAAACCCTTTTCTAATCCGCTTTCTTGCCACGTAGGGATGGTCTGGAGGATCCCCTGGATGACACTGGCCTTGTGCAACAGCAGCTGGATCAGCTGTCCACCATCGGCCGGTGCGAGTACGAGAAGACCTGCGCTCTGCTTGTGCAGCTCTTCGACCAGTCGGCCCAGTCCTACCAGGAGCTGCTGCAGAGCGCCACCGCCAGCCCCATGGACGTTGCTGTGCAGGAAGGTGAGCGTGGCTGGAGAACCGTAGGTTGCCTCTTCTCAAAAGGACCGTTTCAGAAGCTTTGCCTTCCCGGTGAAATCCCTAAATGGGAAGGCACATCTCCCAAACATTCCCCTGGAGAGGTGCCCATACGGTGTAGGATATTTTTGGCTGTGGACAGACACACCCAGTGCACACGGCGGTGCTGGCTGAAGATACTGCTGTCCTACAGCTGCCTTTTTTGGGGAAATTTACTGCATCTCCTTGCCCAGAGACAAGTACGAGGGTGTTCCCCCACCCACAGGTGGTCAGCACTGCCTGCCCCATCCCTCTCCTGTCTGGGGCAGGGTGTGGGGCGCTTATTTGAACCTCCCCACTGTGGCAGCAACCTCTAACTGGTGGTTGGCAATGAGTAACTGGGAGTGGGAGGATTTGGGTGCGTCAGCACGGGGATGGGACCTGTTCCTCTTCCTTCTGGAACAGCCTTGTCTGCTCTAACACAGTATTTTGGGTTTATTTCTAGGAGGGGGGTGGGAGGGGGCAAAACTTGCTGTGATGTTGACTTCTTCACCAGCCACACGTACTTTGAAAGAGTAAGCGCTGCCTGCTGCTTTTAATACACAGAATATGGTTTTACAAGTGGGTTTCTGCAGTGGAATAGCTTTAAATAATGAAAATCCACCAGGCAGACGGGGCGTTCTCGTTTCTTTTCTGCTAAAGTCGTGCCTGTTCTCCACCGAGTGGAAAACAGAGTAATATTGGCACGAGTGGGCCCTAAAGCAGAAAGGTACTCCCTGCGAATCCCATCTTTTCCAAAAGAAAACGCGGATCGCCTCAGCTCCTGCCGTGCAACGTGTGACCTGCTTGGTTCTGATGTCCTCTGTTGGTTTCAGGGCGCCTGACCTGGCTCGTCTATATTATCGGGGCGGTGATCGGTGGTAGGGTCTCGTTCGCCAGCACGGATGAGCAGGACGCGATGGATGGCGAGTTGGTTTGTCGGTAGGGACGCTGACTTCTTTTCTAGCTGCGCTGCTCTGGAAGGCCACAAAAGAATCGCTGTGCGCGCAGCCGCCGCTGTGATCTTCCTCTCTTTTCGCTGTGAAGGACAGGGTGGGATTGGCCGTCCTGAAAGAAGAGGAAGAAATTCTTCCCGGAGAGGTTGGGGAGCACGGGGACAGGTTGCCCAGAGAAGCTGTGGATGCCCCATCCCTGGGAGTGTCCAAGGCCAGGCTGGATGAGGCTTGGAGCAACCTGGTCTAGTGGAAGGTGTCCCTGCCCATGGCAGAGGGTGGGACTGGATGATCTTTAAGGTCCCTTCCAACCCAAACCATTCCGTGATTCTATGAACAGTTTGGTGGCACAGGGTAGAGCCAGCCAGCAAATTCCTACTACGTTTGGCTAAATCTGGGTTG